GAGCATCTCACACTTCTGATAATCAGCTGTCTGCTTGATGTTTATTCAGCTGTGTAAAAACTTTAATCTCAGCCAAACCGATTTACTCAGGAACAAATAAAATACTACAAAAGGCCAAACAATAACATTGTTAAGTTATCTAAGTGACTTATTTATATATATTTAACCTGAGTAGCGAAAGACGGCGGTGGGTTTGAAAACGATTAGCCAGGAGTCCGGTGTTCTCACGGTGCTAGTGAGCCTAGCCCCCGGCTCGCTATCGAGCTAGTGGGTAACAGACGTCTCCGAAAACGTCGGAGCGCTTTTGAAAATATGTGGTGTCCTGATAAACTGAGCAGATATTTGAGGTTTACACAGCTACATTCTCGCCTGAAAATATGTTAAACGTTTATTTTGTAACCCAGAAAGAATAATAAGAGTAGTATTAAAACTAACTAGCTGCCGCCATTGTTGTAAACTGAGCTGGGCTGCGCTATGAATTCTGGGACACAGCTTCTTCTTCTTCGGGGTTTAACGCCAGCTGGCATCCTTGTACATGCAGTGCTGCCATCTTCTGTTTCAGTCCGTTATTACACTCTTAAATCCTACTACTTATTCCTGCGTCTTTTGGGATCTTACAAAGCTTCAAACGATGCGTCGACTATTAAATCAGTCGTCGACGATTTTGATAGTCGACGTAATCGTGACTAGTCGACTAATCGTGGCAGCCCTAGTCTTTTTTGTGTCTTTGTTTATTTTTTTATTCAGGCACGGTGTGTCTTATGTGTATCCCATCCCTTCTTTGCTTTTATAATCATCAGTATTGACCATTACCATCTGGCTAATATCATTCGATAGTATACTGTGTGATGGCATTCTGTCAGTTAGCCCAGTTTTACATGAACTTTCCTCACGGCTCAGCTGCTGTTGAATATCTTTTCACTGCAGGCATTTTCAGCGTTGTGTAAATACACAGACCTTCTATTCCAAACAATTTGAAATATGACATCATTTGGGGGTGGAGCTCTTGTGGATACACCCACTAAGCACAGGGTCTGTCAGTGTGTTTTGGGGGCACAATGCTGCAGCTACGCCTACATCTTTCAGTTAGTCCGCACACGTCTCTCGTGGATTGCAAATACGATAACTGCATCATCTGCCTGTGCGTGTCTGAAAGAGGGTTATTATTCTGGCCTGTGATAGCATATATGCCACCTAAGTAAACTCTTTATATTTAAACTCTGCACTGTGC